TACTATAACTTATAATATATACACTATTATATATATACATATATATATATATATGTAGATAGTAATAATATAGTATATAGTATATATATATATATATATATATTAATTTATATTTATACATATATATATATATATATACATATATACTAATCCCTAAACCCTAAACCCTCCATGAGTCTTTCACTAAAACCTAAATAAATAGTAAGTCTTCTATATCACGAAGACGGAGTTGTTACTCTACTAGGTTTGAGAGTCGTGCGGATACAAATATTTACTATAGTGCCTGACATGCAATAGCGCTTTTAAACCTCACTTTTCAGTACTATAAAGACATTCAGTATCCAAATCACATATGTACCAATCGCAAAAAAAAAAAATGATATTCCAGCTAGTAAATGTAAATTGTCTTCCACGTGAAGTAAACTGACTTTTTTACAAGAGAATATATAGACGAACGTGACATTGTTCAGATATGGGAGTTGCAGATTTTATTTTTGAACTATATCTCACAATTGCAGGCCAAAATTATAGTACTTGAATATAGTAGGCTTCCTGGGCTGGAATGCCACGTGCATTTCTATGCAGGTGGTAGCAAGTAGAAGCGAGATTTTTTCGCACATAAGACACCACTGAAATAATTTTCTCTGCATCAGATTGAATTCAAATATCTAGGGTGTAATTGCATTGATGTGCAAATATTGTATTCCGCCATTTAATTGATGGGGGTGTATTGGCTGTTGAATCGACGCTCACGCTCACGGTATAAGTAAGCCGGAAGTATGAACAGAAGCACAGAGATAATCGTCATCGCCAGGTTAGCCTTGAAGAAGGAGTGGTCGCACTTCTCAATAACATAGTTGTCGATGGGGTACTGTAATACAGGAGGGCAGACGGAGCGGTGTGAGTGGAAGGCGATGACCCGGTCGAATCGGTGGTGTTGTATATAGAACTGTGAGAACAGCAGCTGACACCTGCTTTTGGGTCTGCAGTGATTTAAAACACATATCCCTCCTAAGATTTGTAACCATTTGATTCAACACTAGTGTGATAGACACCGAGATAACCTGGCGATGAAATACACACACGATGAAATAGACACCAAATGTCAGCAATGCGCCCCACACTCCGGTCGGCGTGGTTGCACCTATGTGACCACACAAGCTATTTACTCAAATCATAAGTGAGAGCTGATGAAAACCCATACTTCACACATAGACAGCACTATGCGACAAAAGTGGGTCAGGACTCGGCATCTACACAAAATGTTTCCCCCTTTTGTGATACATTCAAGCTGAGAAACATGAAGTCACCGACAGTCATCGATTAGCACAAATAGCATAGAAGTGTATGAGATGGTCAGCTGTGGCAGGTGAAGAAACTGACCTGTAATAAGTTACCGAAACCGGCAATCATCATAAGCATTCCGTAGATGGTTCCAAACGTTTTGAACCCGAACATACGACCAGTGTAATCAGTCACAGACGCGTACAAGCACGTACGGCCGACTACGAAGACAATAAAAGAGAAAATAGCCCACCAATAACCGGGCAGCATACTGTTTGGGAGAAAGGCAGATAGCGAACAGGTGTCAGTTTTAAATGTTTGTAACATGCTATGAAGTAAAACATGATATGTTCAATATGGGAAGCGAAAAAATGAAGGATTAGTCAGGCATATTCTACAAAAACGAAGATACATTTCTCTGGATATTTTTACATACGTACATACATATATACATATATATATATATATATATATATAATAATACATGTATT